TTTTTTTTTTTAATTTTCAAAGCGGATAAATCTCTCTAATGTTTGATTTGGTTGTTTTTCTTTTTCCATTTTTGCTTTTTGTTTTTAGAATTTTATTCATAATTTTTATTTTTATTTCCTTTTTTGTTTTTTTTATTAGAAACGATGTTTTTCTTGCTACGGGTAACCTCCGGTAGCTTGAGGCTCGACAAGGCTTGGCATTCTGGTAGCCGAAGGGTCAGACTTGATAGCTGGGAAAGGTACTGGTGATTTAAACAGGGCAAATTGGTTTATTTTGGGCTTAATGACATCTACCAATGTTTTCAAGCATGGTTGCATGACCGGTCCTAGGTAACTTAGAAACTTATCCAGTAGTTCCAACGGAATCTGAGCTTACGTTTGTACGTTGAGAGCTCATTGGTTTACCAACTAAGCTAGCCTCGTAGTCGTATGGCAAGGCTTGAGCAGACGTTCCCCCCCGCGCCCCCCTCCTAAGCTAATCTATATTCTTCTCTCGATTTCATCTCTCACTACGTACTTACCACTAGTCCTAAGCCTATACAAGGAACTCTGCAGGCATAGCTACCTCTCACAATCAAGGCGATGGATGTTGCCCCCCGCCCTAATCGGTGGGAGTCAGGGAGTAGGGAGGGGCCGGCTGACGCAAAGACCAACATTTTGCCAGTAGCTGCACCACCCGGCCACTTTCCCCACCCCCATAGCGTAAGAGCAAGGTCTATGGCCAGAACTCACACACCACACACAACCCTCCGGCGCCCCCCCCCGTCATGGCCAAGACCCTACCAATACCGACCATGGGAGCAAGCCAACTATCTCAGTTGGTTGGCACAGAGCGTGCCCAGGCGGTCCGTGCGGATTGAGCCCACGACCTCCTGAATGTCACTTGCTCCTAAGCAGCCTGTTTGAATGAAGGGTACATCCGGAATGTCACTAAACGTTGCAAACCCCGAAACACGGGGGCTCGAGAGCGAAGATGGTAAGGCTGTTATCTCAGCGAAAAGTAGTCTAGCGACGGGCCCCAGTCTTGGAACTCAACCCAACTGGACTGGAGGCGAACCGACCTGTACGGGCCTTCTGGAGGGTTTACCCAACCCTTACCCTGAAGTCGAAGACGTACTGGTGCCTTCTGCTTGCCACCGCGCGGAGCCTCGAATGGCATCAAAGGCAAGAGATTGGACGAGTTCTGCCTTTCCGAAGCCGGCAAGTTGGTGACGAGTCGGCGAGCCACCGTTGTGGGAGCTGCCGCCGGTTTTCGGGTGATTGCCATCGCTGTACCTGTGAGCAGGTGAGCTTCGCTCTTCTTTTCTTGCTATGAGGAAGATCTTGTCTCCTCGTTCTTACGTATTCTCGTCTCCTCACTGTCATGCTATCGTCGTCGACCCGGGTTTTCTTCGTTCCACTCTTGCTGCCATGTCCTCCAGCAAACCCATGCCTTCAATTTTGGAACGTTCCTGGGATACTTAGCGGGAAAAATGACGGCGATCGAGAGCTATGACGAGGTGGTGAACGGAGGCAGCACTGTGGTGGCGTGCTCTATAAATGAGTGGAGCCGATGGCAGGTGGAAGGGAGAATGGGAAGGTCAGAAAACGGGAGAGGGCGGAGCAGGGAGAGAAAGATCTGGTTGGGAATTTGTACGAATTGAAAACAAGCAAGCGGGAATGAGAGAGCAGGTGCCAAGGCATGAGAAGATTTGCGCGGGCTGGACGGTTGGGTGTCGAAGGAGAGAACGGGATGCAGACCGAAGGAGAGTGTGCGTGAGAACGGGGCGGTTGAGACACACAATACACACAGAGAGAGAGAGAGAGAGAGAGAGAGAGAGAGAGAGAGAGAGAGAGAGAGAGAGAGAGAGAGAGAGAGAGAGAGAATCAGCAAAAAACCTAATTTGTAATGGAATTAACTGGTCATGGCAAACCAGAGCGTCATTCGGAATCGCTCAAATACCAGTTATACCGCGCGGACGAACATATCAGGAGAGAACAAGAACATCTCAATGGCATGGTGTCAGTTCAACTGCAAGAGATGAAGATGAACTCCAAGACGGAGAGAGAGAGAGAGAGAGAGAGAGAGAGAGAGAGAGAGAGAGAGAGAGAGAGGGAGCAGGAACGAAAAGCGCGTTATGAAGGAGGACAGATAACGCGGGAACGGAGATCGAGAGGCGCTTGATATTTTCCACAAGTGTAGGGTTTCAGAAATCAACGATGATAAGCGCGTATTAGGTTTTAGGTTTTTCTTGCCCCTCCGTGTGAGAGGTTGCTGAGGTTGAATCTGAAGAAGCAAGCTTGGCGGAGATTTTTCTCTACAAGGCTACCCGCAGTAATATGAAAAAACGACAAGATGATGGGAAATCAGTTGGCAAGGGCATGATTGTCATCAAACTCCCATAGGATGTGGTCCTTCGACTCTGGTGTGCATCGAATCATTGCGTCGATGCTGTGGCTTGTACCGAAGTTTCGCTCGTCTTTTTTTACGTTGACGTCGAGTTTGGTGTGTGCTACTCTCCCTGTTTGTTAATGACCATTTGACGTAGGTCTTTGGTCGTCGATGTTCTAACAATCCCACTTGCACAGACCAAGAGAGAGGGCGGGGAGGTTATCGGCTGTAGCTGGAAATGGACACGTCACAAGTACAGGTGTCGGATCCTGACTAGATTCGCCCTGACAGTTTCGTTGAGCATGAGTGGTATTTACCCTAATTTTTCATCGTTTGCCTTCCAAAGAGACTTATGAAATAATCCGTCGGTTGTCCTGATCTTCCACTATTCTCCCTGAAAGAGACTCGTCACGGAATAAGCCATCCTTTTTTTGAAGTGTTCGGTGTGAAGTCTTTGTATATTGATTGACTCTTGTAATCGTGGTGTTGTGTGTGTCGTCTGTGTGGCTCGGCATTGCAGCAGCTGTCGAAATGGCACCTAAGAGAGGGTCAGGTAGGACCCCTGCGCCGCCTCCGTTCGCGGAGAAGAAGAAGCCCGCGGCTCCTCAGACTAACCCGCTTTTCGAGAAGCGGCCGAAGCAGTTTGGAATTGGAGGTGCTTTGCCGCCAAAGAGGGATCTTCATCGGTTCGTGAAATGGCCCAAGTACATCCGCATCCAGAGGCAGCGCCGCGTTCTCAACCAGAGATTGAAGGTGCCGCCTGCACTCAATCAGTTCACTAAGACGCTGGATAAGAATCTAGCGTCCAGTCTGTTCAAGATGCTTCTGAAGTACAGGCCTGAGGATAAGGCGGCGAAGAAGGAACGACTGCTTGCGAGAGCCAAGGCGGAGGAGCAGGGAAAGACTGTCGAGGTCAAGAAGCCTATTGTCATTAAGTACGGAATCAATCACTTGACCTACTTGGTAGAACAAGGCAAAGCTCAGTTGGTGGTCATCGCTCACGACGTTGATCCCATCGAGTTGGTGGTGTGGTTGCCCGCTCTTTGTCGTAAGATGGGTGTTCCTTACTGCATTGTGAAGGGAAAGGCTCGTCTTGGCGCCGTTGTGCACAAGCACACTGCCACCGCACTTTGCTTCACGTCTGTCAAGAACGAGGACAAGAACGAGTTCAGCAAGATTGTGGAGGCAATCAAGGCTAACTTCAACGATCGCTTCGATGATTTCCGTCGCCAGTGGGGCGGAGGCATTATGGGTGTGAAGTCCCAGGCGAAACTCAAGGCCAGGGAACGTCTCGTGGCCAAGGAGGCTCAGCAGAGAATGTCGTAAACACCGAAGGGAGTGATGGATTTCCGTCGCCGATGGGGCGGAGGAGGCATTATGGATTTGAATCCTAAGCGAAACTCAAGGCAAGGGAAAGTCGAGAGGCCAAGAAGGATCATCAGCAGAGAATGTCGTAAAGACCGGGGGGAGGGCGGGGAGCTCGCTGGTTGTCTTGTTCACTCTTCCGCGCCTTGTATGACAAAGGAGGTGTAGGGAGATGATGATGACAGTCATTTCATCAAGAAAGATCTTGTGGCTTTTGAAGAAATAACGAGGTGGATTTTGAAGAAATGTGCTGTTGGACACGATTACGCCTCAGACGAATAGATCGATGAATGGATTAGGATGGGCTGGTTTACGGCCGTCCTGTTTTTTTGCCCCTAATGTTCTCTCTGTTATGGCAGTCGATGGACGTGGAATTGCATGGAGGCAGGTGGTGGATGGGGTGTGGTCTCCGTTGCAGTTTTGAATTTGTACGTGTTGATATTCCGTATTGAGGCATGCGGCATTTTCAAGGAAGGGTGACTTCGTCTTTTTGAACCGTTTTTAATCGGTTTTGCTTAAACCTGGTAATTGATGTGGTGGGTTTTCTTGTTCTCGGAGGGTGAAGAACTCACACCCTAGATCGGGTTTTGTAATAGTCAATGGAATTGCCTTGCTTTCTGTGTGTGTGTTTCTGTCAAATGGTCTGGGATCAAACTGATGATTTTTTGAGCGCAAAGATGGTAATTCCACTGGTTTTCCGATTGTCTGTGAGGTGAGCGCTCTCTCTCCATTTCTCTCCCTCTATCGCTTTATGTTGATTTATTACATGTGCGTGATTACTCTTTTGAGTTCGGTGGGAGTGCTCTCGGGCTTAGCTCCTGCTGCTATCTTACTCCACCCACCTCCACGAGCTTGCCTCGTTCCCCCTTTTTGCTACGTCTTTCACTGTTCTCATTTGCCCTTGCTTCCCTTCTTTTCGACTCTGCGTATCTCACATTTTCTCTCTGCGCAGCTCTCTCTGCCCTCCACTGTCTCCCTTTTGCTCGCTCGGTCGATCGCTGCTACTTACGCATTATCGTGTCCGCTACTGTTCCGCCTAACACGTGTATTTTTCGCTGGAAAGAGTCGCTCTCTCTCACCTTTTCGCTGGAAAAAGTCCTCTCTCTCACACACATGCACACACGTACACACTTACACAGCGGTACACACTCACACAGCGGTACACACTCACACAGCGGTACACATTCTAAAGGTTATGTTTACGAAAGCAGTCGCTGGTCTCGAGAATCGGGCATTGAATGCTGACGTGCGCGAGGGGTCTAGCAGGCAAATTGTATGTGGAAGTTGAAGATCATCTTGAGAGCCATCAGTCCGTGCACCGGTGATTTCACCGATTGCTTGCGCTTGTTGAATGCCTCGAAGTGAGTTAAGTTAGGCTGCTACCAGAGCGCCATTAGTATCGTTGTCCTATTTCCTGTCTCCTTCGATTAAGCTCGTCCCTCTCCTTACCATCTCCTCCACCTCTTCTCTTAACTAAAACGAAAAGCAGAGGGACGAGGATAGGGTCGGGATACGCCGGGTGGAGAAGAAGAGTAAGGGTCCGGTCAGAGTGAGAGGGAGAGTTGGTTAAGGGTCGGGATACGGTGGGTGGAGTCGAATCGGGTCAACGTGGGGAGAGATGAAGCATGAGAGAGAGAGAGAGAGCTGACACGGTGGGGTAAGTCGAATCAGGTCACCATGGGAAGGGTCATGGGAAGGGTCGGGATACGGTGGGTGGAGTCGAATCAGGTTACTATGGGAAAAAAGGACGCAAGAGAGAGAGAGAGAGAGAGAGAGAGAGAGAGAGCTGATACGGTGGGTGGAGTCGAATCAGGTCACCTTGAGAAGGGTCGGGATACGGTGGGTGGAGTCGAATCAGGTCACCATGAGAAAAAAAGGACGCAGGAGAGAGAGAGAGAGAGAGAGAGAGAGAGAGAGAGAGAGAGAGAGAGAGAGAGAGTTGGTACGGTGGGTGGTGTCGGATCAGGTCACCTTGAGAAGGGTCGGGATACGGTGGGTGGAGTCGAATCAGGTTACCATGTAAAAAAAGGACGCAGGAGAGAGAGAGAGAGAGAGAGAGAGAGAGAGAGATTCACAGAACGATTAGCAGTTCCAGTCGCAGTCCTAGAAGCAGCCGCGTGGATGGAACGATCAGGATTCCCACTCAGTCCCACGGAACGATGACGAGTCCGAGGAGATTGAGACAAGCAGGCCGACATATTGCTCTTCTTGCAACAAAAGTGCATGGCGCTCATTAGCGAACCTTTCTGCAGCAAAACGATGGCTTCCTTACTCAAATATAAATTGCAGTTCTATTATGGAAATGCAAGCCAAGGGATATAGGAGTCAGGAATAAATAGTGAGACGAGCAAGCGATAGTCTTGGATCTTATCTCCTTGCCTCTTTTCTTGCTTTTTTTCCCCTTCGCAGAAATCGATCTCGCAGTTCCCGAACGGTTCTTTTTTCCTTTATCTACGTCTTTTTTTTTCCCCTTTCTCACAATTTAATTTGCATCCCCCATTGAAAACACGAATAAATCTCATGGAAAGACATATTGCATGCAAGCAAGCGCCTTGTACTCCTTTACAGCACATGCGTTATGTTCGGGGGAAGACGGGCGGGTAGTGTGGGCATGCTGCAAGACTATTCTGTTGTGGAAACCGTAGAACAAGAAGCAGGCCCGTTGAATAGTAATGTTGCAACATTAGGAAAATCTGAGTTGATAATCGAATAATAATTGAATAATAATTGAATAATAATTGAATAATAATTGAATAATAATGTCAAGACAAGCCAATGTACAGCGATGTGGAAACTGTGGGACAAAATAGCAGTTCTGTTAACCAATATGCGGAAACAGGGGCAATCAACCCGGTGGGACAAAGGTCTGGCATCAGGGTTGGACAATCATCAGTCCCATGGTAGAACAATCAGTCCCATGGAAGTATGGGACAAGCAGCATAATGCATGGTCCAACCGGTCGCTTCGAAAGCAGTGACGAACAGGCTTGACGTGTAGGATTTGCACGAGATCGCTTTCTTGCTGCCGTTTTATGTTGTCCTATCAAGTAAGATGTCGTGATTGCCTGTTTGCCGGTTGGACACTATTGGACCATGACTGTTTTCCAGAAAAAGGTCAGCGGCGTTAATTAAGATGTCGTGATTGACGATGGTTCAATCAGGCCTTGTGTATGATATAAGCTGGGGCATTTGCTTTCACCCGCCGAGCACAAGTACGGTTATTATGACTGTATCGGACTGGAAAGACGGCTTGTATTCGTTCATCATGATGATGAGGCGGGGGCTTGGGTTCAGGGGAAATCGGCAGCTGCTGTGATGAGAGGCGCCTGGAGAAAGCTGTGTGAGCTCGTTTCCCGGTGTTCCGTTTGCTGTGCTGGAACTTGTAACCGAACCCTGTGCAACATACGAAAAAAAAAAATAAGTTTTGACTACTGCTCAAAATGTGCTCTTTGAATTTGTAATGCTGTAAACTTCGACTCTGAACTCTTTTCTTTCATGCATACACACTATTCTCTCTCTCTCTCTCTCTCTCTCTCTCTCTCTGCGCAACTTTACTTCAGGGAGAAAGGGCTTTAGATGATCTTTCCATGGTGGTAGTAGATACAAGCAATACCAGCATGTCACAGCCATAGATATCTGACATCCCTGACTTGGAAGATATGGCACATGCAGATTTCTAGTGCAGTGGAATGGAACACTCGGGCACTCCGAATCTTCGGAGAGGGGTCTGCACTAGAATTTCTAGTAAATGGCTCTGAGTCAGTCAAGGTTCAAAAACCCCGATCCAAATTGCAACCGCCATTACCAACACGCACACAGACACTGTAGCACTTCGAATCCTATACGGTTGGTTGGATTAATTGGAGGGTGGATTGGTTGACTGATGAGAAAAGGTGGGTTGGTCGCAGCAAGTGAGGGGGGGGCAGGGGGGGGGGGTTGATAAACGGTGCTGCAGGAGAAGCGGGCACACAGATAGTGATGGAGGCCCCGCGGTGGGGAGGCAAGAAGAGAGGGAAGGGAAAGAGGCGGTCCTCAGTCAGGTAAACAAACCATTATGAAAAAAAGAGAATCGAGTTCGTTCATAAGGTGCCACTCCCTCTCAGCTGCAGATTCGCAGACAAAGATGAAGCCACGAGTTCTTGCTTGTTTGAACAGTTTCTGGTCTGGCTAGTTGTTCTTCGCTGTCCCTTCTGTGCATCAGTCTTGCTGAGTTGCTGTCACTCACTTTCATTCACTGCCCTCTCTCTCTCTCTCTCTCCTACACACGTACAAAGACTATGTAGCTGAGAGGCTTTTGTGTATAAGCATAATGAAGGTAACAAGGCAATGCTTACAGAATTCTCTCTCTCTCTCTCTCTCAGGTATAACCATAGTGAAGGTAACAAAGCAGCGTTATCGAACCAAAATGGTTGGTGACAACAGAAAATAGTGTTCACACATGGAGTTACGACTGTGCTGGGCTGGAGTCCGATAAAAAATGACTAATTGATAGAACTCTTTCCTAGTATGAAAAAAAAATAAAAAAATCGATATCTTTGTTCTACTCCTGAACAGCCAAAGCGGCCCAGGGTTTGAACTCAATCTAATGGAGCCTCAGGACGAATGTTGGTGGCATACTAAATATACACAAAAGTGGAAAGGGAAGCACGCCCTAAGTCAAAAGGAGTCTTTGATTAGGGCCAACTCCGTCCTGAGTCAAGGGGCCATGCCTTAGGGCCATGCAAGGGGAATCGGCCCGGAAAGGCTGGTCAGATTTGAGATGCTTGGAGGATTTTTGTGATATTTCTGGCTGTGTATTCTTCAGCCCTGATCTGTTTGGGTACACGGTGGAGACCCTGTGGCGTCAGTTTTCCTTGGGTTTTGAACTCGCAAATTATGTACTGTTTGGTAGTGCCTCGGCCTGACTGTGGGGTGTGGTCTAGTGTCTTCACCGGAATAGAACGCCCTGTCATTATAGCCGTAACTGGGGCAACTTGCAATCCAGATGCAGCAGCCATAATGACCGTCGTGGACTGTTCTTTTCGGGTGAAGACAGTAGTATCGATATTTTTGTTTTGCAGGTTAAAGTGGCGTGGTATTATCGATATTTTCGTTCTGAAGGTTAAAGCGTCGTGGTATTATCGATATTTTTGTTCTGAAGGTTAAAGCGTCGTGGTATTATAGATAACTTTGTTCTGAAGGTTAAAGCGTTGTGGACTGTGTAGCGGTAGCTTTCTCAGGAACCAGCTCTCGGAGGAATCGTACTCCGGACCTGTGGGTTATTTGAGATTTGATCTTGAAAATTACCGTGGTGTGGAAAATTTCACAGAATGTAACTTGAAAAGGATTATTGCGCTATGGCGGACTTCTCTAGAAGTTACTTCAACCTAGATTTTACTTTTACTGCATCATTACTGTAGGTTGCAATTATCGCATCATTACTGTAGCCCGCATCATTGACTGGGATGAGGGCAGTAATCCATGTAGTAACTTTTACCGCCACACCAGCCCTCATCAGTTACCACACCAGCCCTCATCAGCTACTTCTTAAGTTACATTCTGTGATGCGGAAGTTGCAACTCTTTTTACACCTTGCGGGACCTTACCCCCGGCTCTCCGCAAGGTTAAAAAAAGAGTTGCAACTGCCGCATCAGTATCGACAAGGTCCCTGATGAGGGCTGGTGTGGCGGACAGCCAAAACCGGTCGGATCATGCCACGGTTGAGTGACTTAGTCCATGGTTTCACTGTACTTCTTTTCACTAGGTTATGTTTGGGAGACTTATTTTCATCTTGTGTTGGTGTTCATCCCTTTCGTTCACCCATTTGCGTCATCCCTTTCTTCCTCCTCCTCATGTTCCTATATGCTCTTTTTCCCCTCCCCTCTTCTTCTCCTCTCTGACACGTTTTTTTTTTGTTTTTTGTTTTTTTTTTGGTTGAGAAACCTCTCGTGGGTGCTAGCGGTGTGCATAAGAGCAACCACCGCTAGTACCCCTAGAGCGATTCCATCTATTAGTGGGCAGTATGGTGTTGGTCAGTTGGTGTGATTTGTCCATGCTTAGCGAGTGTCGAACATACGATATTCTCCTGTCGTTACTAAACAACTTGCATTCGTGGAGTGACTGGTGTAGGGATCATACTAGGACTTAGTGGCTTCGTCCTTCGTCCTTCTTGATACGACGATTCGACCACATAAGATATTCTCCTGTGATAATATTGGTGATTGGTGAGTATCGAGGAGTGCATGGCCGCCAACCTACCTGGCGCCTCGCCTAATATTGTCCGAACTTTCTTTAACTGGTGTCCACCTGGGCATTTTGCCCGCTTCTCAGGCTGTCCTCACTCATCCTCCTCATAACCCACCCTCCAGTCTGAGCAATGCGATTGGCCCTGTGCAGACACTGTTGTTGTCTCTTCCTAGCTCTCAATTCTAACGGGCCAACTAACACAGGTTACTACAACAGAGATAGTGGGTGGCATCAGACTAACGAGTGACTGCGCCACCTTGAAGATACAGTGTTGAAGATGAAGACGCGTCACGGTGTGGAGGGGAAGAGTAGGAAAAAGTCAAAAAGGAAAGAAGACGTACGTCGAGCATGAGAAGAGGAGAATAGGAGGTTACGCGAGAAAAAAGAATGCGAAGAATTTCATAAGCAGATAGGAGAGGCGTTAAACGCGAAGTTGGATGTCGTCTGCAACGCTCTACTGGCGAAAAAGAACAAAGAACGCAATGAGGAGCTGTGAAACAGAGGCCTCTCTTATTTGAGGACGGAGGTCGAAAAGATGTGCTGTATGCAGATGGACTACACATCTACTCCAAATGGATGCCCCGCTACTGTCAATTTGGCAGCCAGACCACCTGCGCGAGCAAGAAGTGCAGCAGCGCACGAGGGAAGAGGCGAAAAGAAAGGTAGTGGTATTGGAGGCGGAAATCAACTTGCTTAGGCATTTACGGGTGGTTGCAGTGAATGAAGCTGCGACATGAAAGCAGGAGGCGCTACGTCCTGCGAATAAGTGCGAGAGTGTTGCCGTGGGAGAAACTCTGAGCAAGAAGCATATTTGTCTATGTCCGCGGTGTACGCCAGCAAGAAGCAGAGAGACTTTGAGGGCGGTGAAGATGGTAGAGGGCGACGCCAAAGAAGTGGCGGCACTTAAGGAGCCCCTTCGACGAGAGCTCTTAGTGGGCGACAAGAGCCCGAACAGGAGGTAGAATAACTGAAAGAAGCCTTGGATCGACTCGCGTTGGAGTTGGAGCA